GCCTGATTAGCCTGGCTTGCTTATTCCTTCCCATGAAAACTGAAATAAATATTCTTTCCCATGATTCCCCCCATTTCCTCTGCCTCCTGACTGACCTTGATGTTTCCCTGTCCTGCCCCTTGTGATGTGCTGTGCCTACTGCTTCTAGGGGACTGTGAGTAGTAAAATCGACTACTCTCCTTATGACAGTCATTTCTGTGTTTGTGAGTCTTACTATTACTGATTTTAAAAAATCCTGGGTACCATGAATGTAAACGACATTCGCTCAGTGCTGTCGGTTTCGGACACCTTTTATCAGTATTAAAACATCTTCCTCAGTTGCTAGCTTCTTATGAAGTTTTAATTTTTTTTAACAAGGGGTATTGCTGAATTTCATCAAAAGCCTTTGTGACATTTATTGAAATAATTTTTATCTCCTCTGACTTTTTCCAATAAAAATGATACTGATTGAACAATAGGTTACAATTAAAGTTTCATCAAGGACCGCCAGGATATAAGAGCTGTGAAAGTCCAAATCACCATATGCAGGTTTTCATAGCAAATATTTGAGAACCTGTTCCACAACTGTTAATTCCCCACATCGACTTTAGCAATGTGAAATGACGTGAAGTGGGGAAGACTCCAGGGAGCTGCTGCCTTGCACTCTCGCCTGTCTCACCTTTGATAGTCATAAGTGTGGAGAGGAAAATAATGCAAACTCTTAACCCTGGGTCTAGAGGAGGAATTTTTAGGGGACCACCAGGACAACTGAACCAAAAACTCCTGGAACTAAGAAGCAGTTATAGCAAGGATGCTACATACAGGGTTGATATAGGAAAGTCAATTGCAATTGCTCTTTTACACACCAGCAATGAGCAATTGGAAGCTGAAGTTAAAAACAATGCCACTTACGTGAACATCCCTTTCCCCAAATGGAATACTTAGGTATAGCTCTAACAAAATATATAAAATATCTCTAAGGAAACCTATAAAATTTTGATTAAAGAATTGGTGAATACAAATTAAGATCTGACGACTATAGCCAGAATACGAAATATAAAATATATACAATTAAAAAATAAGGAGGCTAGCGTTAGAAGATCTAACATACATTTCATTAGAATTTCAGAAAAAGTGAATAAGGAGAGGCAATATTTGAAAACAAAATAAATTACAATTTTCAGGAATAGCGAAAGGCAGATATTTGTAGATTCAGAAACCTCTGTAAATTATCGGGTAACTTAAGTAAAAAGAAATCCACAGTGAGATCCACTGTGTGCACCAAAGACAAAGAAAAGGTCTTAAAATCATTCAGAGGTAAAACAAAGAGGTGACCTAATAGGAATAATAATTTGACAGCTGACTTCCAAGAACAACAGTGAAAGGCAGAAGATAGTGGAGACAATCCCCTCAGAAATCCGAGAATTTTTACTGTCAATTGGAATTTTACATCCACTGAAACCATCTTTGAAGAATGAGGGTGAAGGAAAGACACTCTAAAAACCCAGCTATAACACAAATACTAGACAATAATGTGTGTGTGTGTGTGTGTCTGTCTGTCTGTGTGTGTTTTAGATCAAAGCGTTACCAATGTGTTTTCTGGGTTAAAGTTGTTTAACTGGAGATTTTATTGAGTTTGGATATTATCATTATAGGTAGCTATTAAAAGAATAGGTACAGTATATAAGTTTTCAACAGGGAGTTTAAAAAGAAGAATAAAATCCTAATCACATGAAGTAGACAAGAAAGGAAGAAAAAAGCTCCAGAAAAATCCAGAATATTAGAAAGTACAAACTAAGATGTTAAAAACAAATAAAATATATAATCACAATGAGAGTAAAAATTAGAGGCCAGTGTTGGCTCATACCTATAATCCCAGCACTGTGGGAGGCCAATGCAAAAGAATTGCATGAGGCCAGAAGTTAGAGACCAGCCTAGGCAACATAGTGAGACCCCCATCTCTACAAAAAAAAAAAAAAATTAGCCAGGCATGGTGGCATGAGCCTGTAGTCCCAGCTACTCGGAAGGCTGAGGCAAGAGATGGCTTGAGCCCAGAAGGTTGGGGCTACATTAAGCCATGATCAGACCACTGCACTCCAGCCTGAGACCCTATCTCCAAAAAAAAAAGAAAAAGAAAAAGAAAAAGATATTTAAAAAGTAAAAAGAATAAACACTTGCAGTTAAAAATAAAAATAAATTAAAAAAGTAAAAATAAACACTTGCAGTTTAAATAAAAATAAATTAAAAAAGTAAAAAGAATAAACACTTGCAGTTAAAAGATAATTACTAAACTACCTATAATCACAACAAATCCGCTATATGTCATTTACAAGTGGCAAATGTAGAACATAAAGGTACAGAGAGTTTGAACGTGAATGAATAGATTTGTCAGGCAAATACCTGAAAAAAGATGGTACAATTGCATGAGTACAAGAAAAAAAGCAGAAAACATTACACAGTGATAGGCGGTTCAATTTACCAGGAAGTTACATATGTAATTTTCTTTACACTTAATAATAAACAGTATTAGAATGTATAAGGCACAATTCGCAGAACAATAAAAAGATATTGACAAATTTGCCCTCCAAAGATTTTAAAACATCCTTCTTAGTAATTGATGGATGCAACAGACCAGACAACAGGCTGCAGGCAGAAGATTTGTACAACATGCTTAACAAGCTTGTTCTAAGGACCACGTATAGTGCATTGTACCCAAGCACACATAAACCATCTGTAAACACAGATCACACATCAAGCCGTAAGTCTCAACACACTTCAAAGCCTCAATTATCATGGAATTGGAATGGGGTCATTTCAGTATCACACTGGCCAAGATTCCTAAGATCAAAGAAAATATGAGGCTTAAATGTTCATTCCCTTCCTTGAGGACTGACTGTAAAATCTTAGTTCATGTTCTATTATGTGACAGATTAAGTCACATTTTGTGTAAACTCTACCAAACGCTGTGGTTTGTGTTGCAGTTGGCCTGTTACATGGTTCTTTGCCCCAGTGGCAGCATTACACAAGAAATCATGGAGTTATTTTATAAGTGATACAGGATTACTGTCCTATATTGTTGATTAGGTATTATTATTCATAATATATTATTATCCATGTACTCCTTCTCTAGTTCCCAATTTCACCGCAGTTTTTCCACTCCCCCCAACACAACCAAATATCTCACTAAACATTTCATAAAGAAACAAATTTTGCTGCCTTTCCTGGATCAATCTAAATAATCCTACTCAATTATAGGTAGAACTTGTAAAGACCTTTCAGCCAGATGCCAAAGATTGTGTTCAACTTGAGTGAAAATCAGAGTTTACAGATCGAGACCATCCTGGTCAACATGGTGAAACCC